CTAGGCGACAGAGCAAGACTCTGTCTCAAAAAATAAATAAATAAAGTTTTTTCAGCTATACCAAGCCACGCTGTACTCTCTCTCTTAGAATTTACAGCAAAGGAGGGTTGCTTAGAAACTTAGATGTTTGTGATGCTTTAATCCCAGCTACAGCATCACTGACAAGTGTTTGTCCACCTTGAGTTTTACAAACCCCAGTAATGGACAATCTCTGGAGGCAGCTAGAGCTGTCAAGTGATTTTTTTCCCACTTAGATTGAGCCAAAATCTTTCTCTCTGACATCATCCACTGTTCCTAATATTGTCTTCTGGGATTCACAGACCATGTGTAATTGATTTTATATACATGAAAAAACTTCAGATAGTTGATGTTTGTGTGTGTGTAGTGTGAGAAAGAGGTCCATTCCTCTTCTCTCTTTTTAAAAACAGATAATCTATTTTCTATAAATGAAACAAGCCACCTTCTCCTTCTGATTTGTCATCTAACAAGTGCCCCTCTATACCTGGGTCTATTTTGGAGTTTCTCTTCTGTTCCACAGGTTTATTGTCTGTCCCCAAACTGATACCTTATCATCTTATCACTACAGCTTTTTAGTAAGTCTCGACATCTAGAAACACATCTCCCTTCCTTGTTTATCCAGACTGCCTTGACTGGTTTTGGCCCTTTAAAGTTCCATAAATATTTTAGAATCAGCTTTGAAGTTTTACGCTCCCCCCGCCACCCACACACACACCTCACAATTTGTTACTGAGACTGAGTTGAATCTGTAGATCAAGTTGAGAGAGTTAATCTCTTCACTCCACTGAGTCCTCTAATCCATGAGTAAGAGATCTCTCCATTTATTTAGGACTTTAAAAATATTTTTCAATAAAGTTTTATAATTTTCTTCATAAAGTTTGCCCTTTTTAAATTTTTTCTAGGCACTTAATAGTACTTGGTGTTATTGTAAATGATATCATTTTATAAACTTCTTGATTGAAATAGAGGATGTAGAAAAACATGCGGATCATAAGTGTAGCATTCCATGAATCACAGCATGCAGGGGAGTCTAGGGCTCCCTTTCTCGGTCAGCATCAGCATGTGGAATCACCTCTTGAATCCCCTCCCAATCGTTACCCTCTCTTTCCTCCCCACATGTAAACCCTATATTGACGTCTAACACTACAGGGTAGAACTTCACTAAATGAACCCATGCCATATGTATTATTTTGTTCCCAGCTTCCTCTGTGTAATGTGCTGTGTGTGTGACTCATCCTTACTGATTTGTGTAGCAGCAGACTGTTCATTGCATTGATGTATAGTATTCTTTTTTTTTGAGTCGGAGTTTCCCTCTTATTACCCAGGCTAGAGTGCAATGGCGCGATCTCAGCTCACCACAACCTCCGCCTCCAAGTTCAAGCAATTCTCCTGCCTCAGCCTCCCAAGTAGCTGGGATTTGTAGCCTGTAGCACACGCCACCATGCCCAGCTAATTTTTATATTTTCACTAGAGACGGGGTTTCACCATGTTGACCAGGATGGTCTCGATCTCTTGACCTCGTGATCCACCTGCCTCGGCCTCCCAAAGTGCTGGGATTATAGGCTTGAGGATGTTATAGTATTCTATCGCATGAATGTATGACAGTAGATTTCTCCACTGGACTACTGGTGGATGCTTGGGTTCTCTCCAGTTGGGAACTATCCAGTGCAGCTGTGCATATTCTTGGTGATATATTTTAGTTCGTATGTATCCTTTTTTTTCGGTCAAGTTTGGCATTCTTCAGGAAATAATGCCAAATAGTTTTTGAAAGTACATACACCAATTTGCACTTTCACCAGCTGTATGTGAGAGCTCTGGATGCTTACCAACACGTGGTGCTGTCAGTCTGTTCTGGATAACAAACCATTCCAAAGATTAATAGCTTGAAATAGGAATCATGTGTTATTTTTCACAATTCTATGGGTTGCCTGGCCTCAGTTGGGCAGTCCTTCTGCTTTATATGTTGGGAGTTTGGGTGATTCACGTGGCTGCACTTACCTGGGAGCTTGGTTGGAACTGAAATATCCAAGATGACTTCATTTGCACATCTGATGCTTTGACGGAGGTGGCTGAAACAGCTGGCGGCTGGCTCAAGCTCTCTCCATATGGTTTCTTGTCATCCAGTATTCCAGCCCAGGCTTATTTACCTGACAGCTGGATTCCAAGAGTGCAAAAATAGAAGCTGCAAGTCTTCTTAAGGTCCATGTCCAGAAGTCATACATCATCACTTCCACAACATCCATTGGTTAAAACAAGCCAGTGCTAGTGCAGATCCAAGGGCAGGGAGAATAACAGACTTTACCTCTTGCTGGATAACTGGTCTGTGGGTACAGGGATGGGAGCAATTGTTCCTGGGCATGTGCACAGACAATATGCTGTATTCCTCCCTCTGGCCACAATTCACACGGGCAGCACACAGAATACATTTACTTCACACCAAGACACCACCAGTGTCTTCCAATTATGGTATGAGGCTTGAAGCCCAGTCTCGTGATCTCTATCAGGTCCTGTTGCAAATGAGGCTTCTGGTTCATAACTCCTCTCAATCTGGAGACCTCTGGGCTCAAAAGACATGTTTTCTGTTTCCCTCGACACTTGGCTTAAAATGGTGGCTCAGAGACTTTATATTTCAAAATTTCTTGGTCCTTCTTATTTCAAGCTGGCCATGCTTTCATGAGAACAAGCCTCTTGACAATTTTATGGGCTTTGTATGTATCTAATTGTAATTTATTATATTAGACGAAAGCTGTATCCACAGGTGGGCTGTGGATCAGCTTGCTGTGGGACAAAGACTTTCAGATTCTTTGAAACTCTCTTACAGTTGACCCTTGACCAGTGTGGGGGGTTGGGGCACAGATTCCCTGTGCAGCTGAAAATTCTTGTTTTTTTTTTTTTTTTTTGAGATGAAGTCTTGCTCTGTCCCCCAGGCTGGAGTGCAGTGGTGCAATCTCGGCTCACTGCCACCTCCACCTCCCAGATTCAAGCAATTCTCCTGCCTCAGCCTCTTGATCAGCTGGGATTACAGGTGCCCACCACCATGCCTGGCTAATTTTTGTACTTTTAATAGAGATGGGGTTTCACCTTGTTGGACAGACTGTTTCAAACTCCTGATCTCATGATCTGCCCACCTCAACTACCCAGTGCTGGGATTACAATCGTGAGCCACTGTGCCCAGATTCATGTAACTTTTGACTCCCCCAAAATGTAGCTACTAATAGCCTACTGTTGACTGGAAGTCTTACTGATAACACAGTCGATTAACACATAATATACGTTATGTGTATTTCATACTGTATTCACTCAATAAAGTAGAGAAAAGAAAATGTTATTAAGAAAATCAGAAGGAAGAAAAAATACACTCACTGTTCATTAAGTGGAAGTGAATCACCATAAAGGTCTTCATCTTCATCATTTTAATGTTGAGTGGGCTGAGGAGGAAGAGAAAGGAAGGTTACTCTTGCTGTCCCAGAGGTAATTTTTCTCCCCGCTAATTTTTGTATTTTTTTTAGAGGCAGGGTTTTGCCATGTTGCCCAGGCTTGTCTCAAGCTCCTGAGCTCAAGCAATTCACCTGCCTCAGCCTCCCAAAGTGCTAGGATTATAGGCATGAGCCACCACACCTGGCCTAGGTATTCTTCATCACTAAAGTTTGCCCCAAAACTAAATAGATTTTTCAGATTAATTCATGTCTCTCACCTTGGACAACTAAAGAAGCCAATTAGCACTTTCTTTTTTTTTTTTCCCCTTTGAGATGGAGTCACACTCTGTCACCCAGACTGGAGTGCAGTGGTGTGATCTCTACTCACAGCAACCTCCGCCTCCCAAGTTCAAGTGATTTCCTGCCTCAGCCTCCTGAGTAGCTGGGATTACAGGTAACTGCCACCACCACACCTGGATAATTTTTTGTATTTTTGGTAGAGATGGGGTTTCACCATGTTAGCCAGGATGGTCTCAATCTCCTGACCTCGTGATCCACCCACCTCAGCCTCCCAAAGTTCTGGGACTACACATATAAGCCACCACGCCCGATATAAGCCACCACTCCTGGCGTCCTATCAGCACTTTTTATATTCTGCTCACAATTTCTTTTGCCGGGTCTACAAATTCATTGACACATTTTCTATCCTCCACATTAGTGCAGGTAACAGTGTTACTAACATTTCCACTGCTACATAATGCCGATCATCTCACTAGCTTTTCGTAACAATGGCACTGCTTTTCTAAACTCCACTAAACTGTCTCCTCTACACCCTTTTAATTTCCACTTGCCCAGTCCCAACATCAGTGTCATATATTTTAAGTTATATTATGGCAATAATCTACTTCCAGGTACCAATTTTTTGTTACTGCTGGATAACAAACCATCCCGAAAATTTAGCAGCTTCAAACAACAATTATTTATTATTTCTTATGGTTCTGAGGGTCAACTGGGCTCAGCTGGGCACTCGTTCTACCCCATGTGTTACTGACTGGAGTCATCTATCCCACTGCTCTGCAGTGCCACCCTTGTCATAGGTCAAGTGTCCATATATATGTGAGTCTGTTTCTGGACTGATTGCTCTATTCCATTGGTTTGTTTATTCTTGTGCCAATATCTCATGCTGTTATTTACACTAGCTTTATAAAAAGTAAGTCCTGATATCAAGTAGAGTATGTCTAACCACTTTGTTCTTTTTAAAGTTGTCTTTGCTAGTCTTGACTCTTTACATTTGTATACACATTTTATAATCAGTTTGTCAAACACACACATAGCCATGCGCACACACACACACACACACACACACACACTACACCTGCTGCTGGGTTTTCATGAGATTGTATTGAGTAATAGATTAACTTAGAAGAATCAATATCTTTCCAGATGTATACGCTTCCTTAGATCTTTAACACTTTTCTCTGGATAAAATTTTTAGTATTCTGTGTGGAATACTTGTCCCACCTTGATTTATATCAAATTTTGTTTTTAATTTTTGTTTTTGTCAAGACAGGATCTCATTTGGTTGCCCAGGCTGGAGTGGAGGGGCAAGATAACAGCTCAATGCAACCTCAACCTCCAGGACTCAAGTGATCCTCCTACCACAGCCTCCAGAGTAAGTGGGACTACAGGCATGAACCACCATTCTTGGCTAATTTAAAAAAAATTTTTTTTGTAGACGCATGGTCTTGCTATGTTGCACAGGCTAGTCTCAAACTCTCAGACTCAAGCAGCCCTCCTGCCTCTGCCTATATTGGATTTTGAAATGCTATTATAAATGATATATAATTGCTTATTAAATGTTGTTAGTATACAGAAGAACAATTGATTTCTGTATGGAAGCCTAGTGTGCAGCCACCTTGCCAAGCTTGTTTACAAAATCTGTGAATTTATCTGTAGATTCTTTTTTTTTTGAGACAGTGTCTCACTTCGTCACCCAGCCTGGATTGCAGTGGCATGATCTCGACTCACTGCAACCTCTGCCTCCTGGGTTCAAGAAATTCTCCTGCCTCAGTCTCCTGAATAGCTGGGACTACAGGCATGCACCACCAAGCCCAGCTACGTTTTTCTATTTTTAGTAGAGATGGGGTTTTGCTATATTGGCCAGGCTCATTTTAAACTCCTGGCCTCAAGTAATCCACCTGCCTTGGCCTCCCACAGTGCTGGAATTACAGGCATGAGCCACCACCCCTGGCCTTTTTTAAAAAAAAAAAAATTATACATTTTATTTTATGGTTTATCACATCAGAAAGACCCTCCAGAACAATGTTTAATAAAGATAGTGGTAGTGAACAGAGAGAAAGTTTTACCATTTTACGATTACTGTCATGTCTGCTATAGGTTGTTGTATTTGCCCTCATTCAGATTAGGAAGTTCCCTTCTCGTCCTGGTTTGCTGAGATCTTTTTGTCATCAAGGGGTATTGAGGTTTATCAAAAACACTTTTTAGGCCAGCTGCAAGGCTCTTAGCTGAAATCCCAGCACTTTGGGAGGCCGAGGCACAGTGGTGCATGCCTGTGGTCCCAGCTGAGGCTGAGGTGGGAGGCTTGCTTGAACCCAGGAGGTTGAGGCTGCAATGAGCTAAGATCAAGCCACTGTACTCCAGCCTGGGTAACAGAGCAAGATCCTGTCTAAACAAACAAACAAAAATTCTTTGTAAATTTTTCTTTGTAAAAAATTCTTATATAATACTGAGATTATCATACAATTTTCTCTCTTTTTTCTTTTCTTCATGATGAGAAGTACATTGATTTTGTAATGTCAAACAAAATTTACATAAATCCAACTTGGTGGTGATATATGATCTTTTATATATATTGCAGAGTTTTGTGTTCTAATATTTGGTAGGATTTTTGCATCCATATTTATGGTAATATACCTGTAATAATTCTTTCTTGTAAAGTTCTTTAGTTTTGGTGCTAAGATTATATAAAGGTTATACCAACTTCATCAAAGAACTTGGGAATCATTCCCTCTTTTTCTAGTCTCTGGAAGATTTTGTGGAAGTGTAGTATCATTTCTTCCTTGAATGTTTGGTAGATACAGAAATTGGTTCTAGGAGTAGGATGTTGCCGTAACAACAGAAACACATTCTAAATTATGTGGCATTAACATCCAATCTGGCAGCATGAAATTGTTGAAGACCTAAAAAGATGGCAATCCATGTTACGCAGTGGGAAAAATTTATAAAACTATAGCCTGGAGTAGATTAAAGGGCATATTATATACCTAATGAGCTTGCACTCTATGCAAAGAGGGAAAAAATGAATATTATTAGAATGAGTTTATTACTATAGGCCACATTTGCCAAAGTACTAGAAGAAATAGAGGAGCTCAGAAAATATTTGGTTTGCAATCAGAAATGTAAAAGAATTTAGAGAGGGCCTCAAGACTCAGGGATTTGCAGAGTTGGAAGGAATAACTGATTCACATCTTCAACTAGTAAAGAAAAGACTGAGAAGGCCTTTGAGCATTAAATGATGCTGAAAACTCTGCTTATTGGCAAGGACCAAGTCAAAAGTATGGTTGTCACACCATTGTTAGAAGCTCTGAATGAAACAAGGTGGTGCCCAGCAAATACTTTCAACTGGAAAAACATCTCAGGGAAGGAAGACTTAGGGTTTGGCCTTTTCTAAGGAAGCCTGATAGGCTCAAAATATCTGTAGTTAACTTTAGAGAGAGGCTTCCATCTTTAGAGAGAAACACACCAAAAATGTCTCTACACAATTGTGACACATAGCACTGCTTAGAATTAAATACGTAATTTGGGATATATTTTGAGAAGTGGCATTGTCAAGGGAATCACTGGCATGGTCTAAAAGAGAATGCGATTGTTGGAGACAAAATGATGACTGGGCCCCAGCCTTCTGTAGCTGCATTTCAGGATTGTTATGAATTGTTGAATATGTCATCCTTCTTTAAGAATGGGACTATCAGCCAGGCGTAGTGGCTCATGCCTGTAATCCAAGCACTTTGGAGGCCAAGGCCGGCCGATCACCTGAGGTCAGAAGTTGAAGACCAGCCTGACCAACATGGTGAAAGCCCGTCTTAAAAAAAAAAGAATGAGACTATCTATTGTAGTTGTCTGTCCCTGTTCTACCAGGATTTTATTGTTTACAGAAGCAAGGACCAGAAAACTTATTCTTTTAGTTCAAAGATATTTGGATCAAAGGGAGCTATGTCTGTATCTACAGAGAGACTCTTGTGAATCATTCTTAGCTCATGAACTCTATGCTAAAAATATCGATGAGATGAAACTTTGGGGTTGTTTTCCTTAAAAATGTGTGAGTATGTTCTGCATGTGGGAAAGGAAGGGAACTGATCCAAATGGTAAACTATGATAGGTTCTATTACTATTCATGCTTCATGTAATCCTCTCCCCTTGAATGTGGGCTGGACCTGGTGACTTGCTTTTAACCAACAGTATACAGTGAAAGTAATGAAATGTCACTTCTGAGGTTAGGTTACAAAGAGACTGCGGCTTCCTTCTGCTGTGCCCTCTCTTGCTTTCTCATTCGCTCACTGTGATGGAAGCCTGCTGCCCTATGGAGAGGGCCATGTGGCAGAGAAGGCAAGGGAGGCCTCCAGCCAACAGCTGGTGAGCACTACCATCCTCAGTCCAACAGAACATGAGGAATGAAATCCTGCCAACAACCACACGGATGAGCTGCAGGGCCTTCAGTGAGACTGTGATCCCCACAAACACCTTGACCATAGCTTTCTAAGAGCCCTTGACACAGAGGTACTGGTTATGAACTGAATTGTGTCCCCTCTTCCCACAAATTCATGTTATAATCTTAACCTCTAATATTATTGTATTTGCAGATAGTGCCTATAAGGAAATAATAAAGGTTAAATAAGTCATGGGGTTTTAATCTGAGAGGACTGGTGCCTTTTTTTTTTTTTTTGAGCCAGAGTCTCTGTTGCCAGGCACCAGGCTGGAGTGCAGTGGCATGATCTTGGCTGACTGCAACTTGTGCTTCCCGGTTCAAGCAATTCTTCTGCCTCAGCCTCTCGAGTAGCTGGGACTACAGGTGCACGCCACAATGCCCAGCTAATTTTTGTATTTTTAGTAGAGATGGGTTTTACCATGTTGGTCAAGATGGTCTCAATCTCTTGACCTCATGATCCGCCTGCCTTGGCCTCCCAAACTGCTGGGATTACAGGTATGAGCTACTGCGCCCGGCCAACTGGTGCAGCACACATCTGTAATCCCAGTGTTTTGGGAAGCCAAGGCAGGAAGAACCTCTGAGCCCAAAAGCTTAAGGTTACTGCAAGCTATGATTTTTTTTTTTTTTTTGATGGAGTCTTGCTGTCATCCAGGGCTGGAGTACAGTGGCATGATCATGGCTCACTGCAACCCCCACTCCCTATTCAAGTCATTCTCCTGCCTCAGCCTCCCAAGTAGCTGGAATTACAGGCATGTGCCACTATGCCCAGATAATTTATTTTTTATTTATTTATTTTGAGATGGGGCCTCATTTCATTGCCCAGGCCGGAATGCAAGGGCATGATCTCAGCTCACTGCAACCTCTGCCTCCCAGGTTAAAGTCATTCTCCTGCCTCAGTCTCCTGAGTAGCTGGGATTACAGGAGCCTGCCACCATCCCCAGCTAATGTTTTTATTTTTAGTAGAGACGGGGTTTTACCAGGTTGGCCAGGCTGGTCTCAAACTCCTGACCTCAGGTGATCCACCTGCCTCAGCCTCCCAAAGTACTGGAATTACAGGCATGAGCCACTGTGCCTGGCCCTAATTTTTGCATTTTTAGTAGAGATGGGGTTTCATCATGTTGGCCAGGCTGGTCTCAAACTCCTGGCCTCAAGTCATCTACCCACCTCAGCCTTCCAAAGTGCTAAGATCACAGGCGTGAGCCACTGCACCCAGCTCAGTAAGCTATGATTGCCCTACTGCACTCCAGCCTGAACAACAGAAGTGAGATACTGTCTCAAAAGAAGGAAAAGGAGAAGAGAAAGAAGAAGAAACACCAGAGATCTCTGTTTCTGCATGTGCGAGGAAGAAAGGCCACGTTAGGACACAGTGCAAAGGTGGCCGGGAGAGAAGCCTCCCCAAACCGACACTACTGACATCTTAGTCTTGGAATTACAGCCTCTAGAACTGTGAGAAAATAACTTTCTGTTCAAGTCACCCAGTCTGCATTAGTTAGTTATGGGAGGCCTATTAAGGCTAAGACAGTACTCCCCTAAACCGTGCCTGGATTCTTAAACCACAGCAGCTTTGAATAAGTGTTTGTTGTTTTAAGCTGAAATTTTTTGGAGTAATTTGCTATGCAGCAATAAATAATACATTAGCCTATTTTGTTTTTGTTTATATCCTTTTAGACCTCTGCCCTGAAAAGATGGGCAGGTGGAATGTCACCTTCCTGCACTTCAAATTCTTGCTTTTGGACACAGTGGCTCTCACCTGTAACCCCAGCACTTTAAGAGGCCAAGGTGGGCAATCATTTGAGGTCAAGGAGTTCGAGACCAGCCTTGCTAACATGGCAAAATCTTGTCTCTATTAAAAATACAAAAATTAGCCAAGCATGGTGGTTCCCACCTGTAATCCCAGCTACTTGGGAATCTAAGGCAGGAGAATGGATTGAACCCAGGAGGAGAGG